GATCAGGACCTAGCTTAGGGTTGTTACCATCAGCATCCCTACAAGGAAGGAACCCCATGGATCCTCACAGGTTTAGGTCTTGAGGACCACCCCTCTGGTTTTGATACACCAGTCCCTGCCTACTGCTGTTCCTCACTTGCAGAAGATGAAGGCATGTCTCCTGTGGCATAGAAACCAGCTCCTGTGGCATAGAAACCAGCTCTCTCACAGCTGGCAGTGCTACTGCCTGACAGGCTGGTTTACTGTGGGCAGCATGGAAAACCCTCCCAGAGAAGCTCCTACATCCTCATCCTTCTCCCAGGGCCTCCCAGAAAACTGGAGCTTCTCAGGAATACCTCAAAAAGGAAATATCCACTTAGGAAAGGCCAACACAACACAGGCCCTCATCCCCATCCTAATAGAGGCAAACAATTGTCAAGATTTGGGGTGTGCAGCTCATGCAGAGGAGGACCACTGTGCTGCACAAAGATGCACTCAGCAGGCAGCACCCCTGCCTGACAAGAAAACTTCGGGGGAGATGGTGCCAAGATTGTGCTTTGTTGGGCTGCTCAGAAATGGGATGATGTGAAGAGGGCAGCAGGCTCATTCCCAGCTCTGTAGCAGATCTTCTACCCAAGGAACAGAGGTTGGGACCTAGCAAGTGAAACTGGGGTTTTGCCAAGGCATGAAAGGATCCGTAAGTAAAGCTTGTCAGGGCTAAATGTGAGGAGGTGGAAGATTTAGGAGGTGATATGTTGCTCTGACTCTCATGAGGCCCTCTAAATATTCAAAAGGACACTGTCATCCAGAGGCTGGCATGCTCTTCCATCCCAGTACACACCACATGGCTCCACATACAAAGGGAGTTTCTTTAGGAGCCATCCCTCTTGAGCTATTCCCAGGTCCCATGCTCACATCCCTTTTGTTTCCTGTGCTCCTGCCGCAATCCTAGGCTATTTCCTACCCATGCCAGAATGTCCATGGCTTATTCAAGAGGAAGCCGGTTGGGTGCAAGTCAGGTGGGAAGAGCTGCAGAAGGTTCATGTAGAACTTGTTCTACTGAGTTCCTCTCCAGGTGCCTTCCTCATAGTAAGGGAGATATGAACAGAGAGTATCAAACCTACAAGGTAGCAGTAGTTTTGCCTGAGCATAGGTGTGTATGGTGAGGGCAACCTCTGACCTGTGACATTCATGAAAAGATGGGAATCCTTTACACCTCTGAGAGACCAGACCTTCCTGCCTTTTCCTCCACCACTCCTTAAGGACCTGGCTTGCCATACCAAAGAACACATTCATACCCTGCCACCAAATGGCAGAAAACTGTCTCTGAGAAGTCTGGAGAATGCCCATCACTCCAGAACTGCTGGTGCTCATCAGCAACAACGTGGTTTGGGGAGAAGGGGAGGAAGAGCAGCAAGGGCACAGAGTGTGTTGTACGGCAGGTCCTACCTCCCTTGGTCTTTCACACCTCCTCTCCTTTGTCTGAGGAGGATGAAGGTTTACAAAGTATCTAGACTGAAAAGGTGAGCCTAAGGACCCTTAAGCAGAGAAGGGTAAGGAAGGGCAAAGGAAAAGAAGCGAGAGAATGTCTTCCAACAAATCCCATCTATCTTGGAAGGGGACAGGAGAGAAAGAAAAGACTCCACTGCCAAAGGAAATGAAGGAAAAATTAGTGATGGAAGATTTGGAAAAGCAGGTGTATCAGGAAGGCAGAGAAGCTTTCTAAACCAAATCCCTTCCTCCCACCCAAAAGGAAAACCATCCCTCAATAGGAACAGAAAGAGCAATAGTTCACAGCTGAGTTTCATGCCCAGTGAGTGTCCATCCCTGCCCTTTCTTTGCCACCGCTGCCACCCCATCCCATGCCATTCCCACCCACCCACACTCCAGTGCTGTTACCACAGTGTCAGAGCAGGACGCTCCTCCCAACCATCGCAAGCAGAACAATGGTCCCCGTAACACAGTAGAGACAATTCGGCTTGTGTGTGTGTCTGTGTGAGTCAGTGTGTGTGAGAGTTTTCTGCTGCTGTTGTAAACTTTAAGAAACAATTTTGTCAGTTTTGTATTTTCAGGAGTATTTTGTTGGTGGTTTATTTTTCACAGTCAAGTGGCTTTTTTTTTTTTTTTTCTGGTTGTTTGGGGGTGGGGGTCTTGTTTTGTATCGTTTCCTTGGAAAGAGCAAGGGAGAGTCACAGCTTCTGCTGAGCAGAGACTCCTTTCCAGTAATCCAGGATGTCATGCAGATCCTCATCCTTGGCAAACTGAACTTTCTTCCGCAGGGCATGCCCAGCTGCCATGTAAACCTCCTCCCTGTGGTGCTTCTTGTAAGGCCGGAATCGCTCCCAGATCTTGTGGGTGCTCTCTGATGAGTACTCAGGGCTGGAGGAGTAGCCTGAGAAGTAGTGTCTGGGGGAGAGCTGGGAGTACGTGGAGTCTCGCTTGGACCGGGAGAGTGGCTTGAGGAATGACACCCTCTGGCTCAAGGTGTCAGCACTTTCCTCATAGTACAGGGCCGGGAAGGAGTGACGGTGCTCACTGCAATGGTAAGAAGGCTTGACCTCCAAGTGGTGGATGGCGCCTGGGGACACCAAGGGAAGACGATCCAAAGGGCTGTTGAGCGGACTGCCCTTCTCAATGTATTTGGAGTCAGACTTGCTGAGTGGTGGGTGGTCAGGCACATCCAAGCTGAAGACCTTGGCACTCTTGATGGAGCCACTAGAGGAGACGCTGCAGGTCTTTCTGGCCACGGCAGCATCAGCACTGAGCTGGCGCTGCAAAGGGTGGTGGGAGCTTTCCTTGTAGGGTGGGGAAAGAAAGCTAGGCCGCTCTAGCCCACCCGAGGAACCGGCTGGGATGGACTGGCACTCAAAGGCCATGTCTGAGTCAACACCAGTTCCACCACCCAGGAAGGAGGCTGTGTCCAGCTTGAGGGCATCAATGCAGTTGTTGATGATCTGGTTGACCTTGTCTACCTCCTTTGCTATAGTAGAGATCTCAGCAGCTGAGCCTTGCCCATTATCAAGCTCCCTCAGGTCCTCATCCCGCTGCGTTCGCTCCAGCCCATCCCCACCACCAGTCCGCACCTCAATGTAGTTACCTTTAGTGGTGACTTTAGGAGTCTCCATCCCAGTGTCTATTGACTTTGATGGGGGCAACTTCTCCCCAATCATGGAAGGGATGGAAGACATCCGTGAGACAGGGATGACTGGTGGCTCACCCAGCTTCTGGGAAGGATGGACCATGGTACTAGTATCAATATCTGATCCATAACGCATTTCCAGAATGGTCTTTTTGACATTGAGGGATTTCTGTTTCTCCTCCTGCATCCTCCGCTTCCGCAGGCAGTAGTACACCACCCCCAGGACAATGACCATCCCAAAAAGGCAACCTAGGGTGGTCATGATATAGTGGGTGGTGGTGGAAGTACTGGAAATAGGGTCCTCCCTGCCTTTACTTCGGGTTGCAAAGGTCAGGCAAGTGTGGTTGTAGCGCCTGTTGTTGCGGATGGAGGCCACACAGAAAGTATAATCAGTGTGGGCCTTCAACTTGTTGACAGTGACATATTCCTTCTTGCTCTTCAGTGTTGCTATGTCAGAAACGTAGCTGTTGTTGTATTGGACCAGCACATACATCTTACTGTAGGGCATGGGGATGGTTACCATCAGGATAGCTGAGGTGATGGTGACATCATGGAGCTTGATGCTGGGACTGAAGGAGGAGTCAGTGGTGGAGGAAGCTGGAGGCTTGACTGAGAGGAAGTCCCCAGGGCTGATGGCTGAGCCCTCATCCAGGTCTCTCTGGGAGTCAGGGGTATAAGGGGTGGGGTTGACCCTGGAGAGGGAGGGAATTGTGCCACCTCTGCACATGGACTGGAAGATGGTGATGGCGTTGCGGTTGTGGTGAGGCCTAGGCACCAGGAGTGGGTACCCAGCAAACTCCCGTGGACTCTCACATTGGAGCCGGTCATAGTTCTTGGTGACATTGTTGAAGACCGCCAGCCAGTTAAGAAAGCTGTAGAGGCTACAGTCACAGTTGAAGGGGTTGCCAGCCAGCTCACACACCATCAAATTGCTCAAACTGGTGAAAGTGTTCCCCTCCAGTCGGCTCAGACGGTTAGAAGACAGGTCAATGCTAATCAAGCTGGGGCACTCAGAGAAGGCAGTAGGGGTGACCAGCTCAATAAGGTTGTGCTGCACAAAGAGGAACTGTAGACGCGCCATGCCCCGCAACATACCCTCTGTCAGATTGGTGAGTTTGTTGTAGCCCAGCTGTAAGACCTGGAGGTTCGACTGGCCCATGAAAGCTCCATCCTCAATGTAAGAGATCTCATTCTTGGTCAGGTTCAGATCAGTCAGGTTGCCGAAGCGGTTGAGAGATGAGTACAGCACCACTTTGAGCTTATTCTCGTTCAGACGCAAGTCATGCACCGTGCTGTTGATATGCTGGGGGATGGTCTCATATGGGGGCTGGTTCTGGCTGCAGATGGCCAGCCACACATAACCTTTGTCCCCCTCAATCAGCCAGCAATCACCTCGCACAGTGCCAGGGGAAAACAAGCAGAGCAGGGCAGCTGCCCACAACCCCAGGCACATCATGGTCTGCAGTGGTGCCCTCATCAGGATGGGAAAAAAAAAAAAACCACAACAGAAAACAACCCCAAATGTCAGGATCACAGCAAAAGGAAACTAAGGGCCTGGGCTTTAGCAATTGAAGGGCATGAGCACCCCAGTCTTTGTGTGTGTTGTCACCATTGTTTCTTCTTGCCCCCTGGGTCAAGCCAGGAGCATGGAGCAGGGCGAACACATGCAATCTGCTTTCAGCACACGCAAGAGCTGTGACCGTGAATAATTGGTCTGAAAGGGAACTACCTTGTGCTTTTCTAAACAAAAATTCAGACCGAGGGTAACGAATCTTCTTTGATGCTCATGAATGACTTGCCCACGTTTTCCACTTTTCTCCCTCCCACCCACCCCCCACCCACACCGAACCCACCCCAAAATCAACCCAAGCCCTCCCCCCTCTAGTCTTCCCTCTCCCCTCCACGGTGCGATTTGGAAGAACAACGCAGGGTTGCCTCCTCTGTCGCTCACGCTCCCTCAGTTCTTTCTCCTTCTCTTCCTTCTTCCCCAGATTCACTCCTGAGAAGCTTCAGAGCTTCCGATCAAACATGTCGAAAACAAAAATACAGAGAGGGAAAGAGCAAGTGCACACGAGAGGGATCCATCTGTCACTGGAATCTGGAAAAGAAAGCACAGAGGAGACAAGAAGAGGCATCAGTTGGAGGGGTCTTTGAGATAAGAGAATAGACAGCAAGGCTTCATGAGAAGAGGGAGATGGGGAAGAGACAGCATTTGGGGGGATGCAGGCAAGAGAGGAATGATACTGCCTGCTATGCTGATAAACCTTCGAGAAGGGAACCTTCATGACATATAATCTCATATCAAGGGTATGCAGAAAAGCACCAGGACTGCCTCACGTAACGTGATCAAAGCTAGGGACCTGCAGGAAGGCAACAGTGTTGGGGAAGAAGGGGAAGGGAAAAACGAAGAGGGATGGAGAACATAAGTCTGTTATTTCAGGGGTTCAAAACTCCTATGGTAAAGAGAGGCAAGCCCCAAGCACAAACCAAAGATGCGGATTTCCAGCTGCCTGAAAATGATGTACATGGAATGCATGAAGCAGAGAAAATTTGGACAAGCCTTCCTTCCTGGAAAAAAAAAAAAAGAAAAGAACAAAACACTTTTTTGTTTGTTTCCATCCTTCCTTGATGCAAAAGGGATAAATAATTCAAGCCACGTGTAACTATTTGTGCTATAAAAATTGTTCTTGCCTCTTGGTGCATGGATAAGGCTCCTGAGGTGAGTCAGCCCAGCTTCAGCACGCCGGGGGGCAGGGTGTAGGCATTGTGTCAAACACCAGCCTCTCAGCCAGCAATGCAAGCAGTCCTCAGCTGGAGCACATCACCCACCTACCCCCTAGCAAAAAGAGATGCTCTGCTTCCACCTTTGTGCTTTGCCGCCTCTCCTTAGGGCTGTAAACATTGCCCCTTTGAGGGAAAGGACGCCTTGCAGGAATGCCTCAGTGCATTCCTGGGCTCGGGGCAAGCTCCTGTTTCTGGCTGAGAAGGGCAGCCTGGAGCACCCTTCCCTTCAGCTACAGCTTCAAGCCTTCTCCCACTGTGCTGAGACACAAGCCCGGCAGGGGTGTCCTCAGGCAGCACAGAGGAAACAATTTCATATGGCACATAAAACATGCGGGCACTGCACTCTCATTTATTTATTTATTCATTTATTTTGATAGGAAAAGAAATAAAAAACAGAGAAAAGGATTCTTAGTTAATGAAAAACTAAGGTGTCTTCTTGCCCCTTTTATTGTGGGGGGAGGCTGCTCACTAAAGACACTGACAAAGCTCTCTCTGAAAAAGCTGAACCAATTTCTAGCGCAGAGACACAAAGGGCAGAAATAAAATGAAGGAAGATAAATGGAGGAGGAGTGAACCCTTGAGAAACAAGGCTTAGGGCTGTGGAGAAATCTGAGCTGATTTGGGTCTGTGGAATTACCAGGCCAGCTGGATTAAAGGATCAGAGATAGTGTCACAGAGAAACACTTAAATATTTAATAATCCAAAAAGTAAAGCCAAGATGGAAAAAGGAAGGGGGAGAAGAGCTAGACCAATAGAAAAGACAGAGAGAAAGCCTCTGTTCCCCACAGCTCGTCATCTGAGGCCACCAAACTCGTGTCACTTACGGTTGTCATACAATGGCCTCCAGCTGCTGCCTCAGCTTTGCATCAGCCAGCACTGCAGCAGAAAGCAGAGGCTTTTACAGTCTGTTGCTTTGTTTCTCAGCCTTATAATCCAAAGAGAAATAACTTCCTGACATTGTCTCTCCAGATGCATCAGATAGGAGGCACATCTGGCTCTCCACAGGTTGGAACCCACATGCCTCTGATATTTCTCAATGCCAGTCCCACCTTTTCCAGAGGTGACTCCATGCACAGATACAGCCAACCCGCCATACCATCTCTGCCCCTAAAATCTTACCTAACATTTTAGCCAGCATCCATCCCTGAGCATTTTGCTTTAGCCTGTCTGTCTCACCTTGACAAATACAATCACAATACCCAGCTCCATACAGGAACATCGCAGCCCCCTTGGCTTGACCCCTTCTGGTAGAGCAGACTGCTCCAAAAGCTGTGCTGAATTCGTCATTGTCTGCTGTAGCTTGTTCGTGGTGCACAGGACGAAAATCTGAGGACAGGACCACATTCCTCTGCAGCAGCCCCAGTAATCGCTGAGAGCCACCCAATCCCACTCAGGGAGCTGCACTCAGGGAGCACAGAGAGGGCTTGCAAGGGAAGATGTCCTAGGAGCCTGGAGAGGAAGGAGGTGGCAGCGTTAGGGGCTGGGTGGAATGAAGGTGGTGTTTATCCTTGCTATGTATCAAAATCAAAGGGACCATGTAGAGAAGACCTGCTCCCTCTCTACCTTCCACCTTGGCTGTGCAACCTTGCCTCAGCCAGAGGCCAAAGGAAGGGCCAAGCCATTCCTCAAGCCAAACTCATTGGTCTCTTCAGTCCCCAGGGTAGCAATCAACCCCAGCCCAGAGGAGAACCAAGGAAGGGGGACACAAGAGCAGTCGTGGAGAGCCTGGTTTGGAGGGGGTCTGTGGTTACAGGCAAGAGGAACAGTTCGGACATGGGATCTGTTTTATAGGGCAAGTGAAATGTCACCACCCTGGTGAACCGGGCCTACCTTCTGTAGGGTTCTGATAGTCTTCAGTGTAGGCCAAGACAGCACTTAGAACATGCCCTTGGCTCCTGGCCATCCTCACGAATGCAAAAGCATCAAGTAGCGGCATTGTGCCCATGAATGGCTGTACCCTCCTTGGCTGGCACAAAGTCAACCCATCAGCTCCAAGCTCCCAACAATTTCCCTCTGGTTTATTCCCTACTAATGGATGCGTCAATGTTATTGGCATTTCTTTGCACCAGAGAGTTTGGAGAAGAGCAGGAGGCCACAGGAATGGTTCCCTTTTTCAGAGGAAAAATGGAGGGAGAAGACCCCCAGATTTGAGTCAGGAGCTGGATGTTCTGATAGCCACAGGCAACCCTTTGGCTTGGGGATCAGGGTGGCACAGAGGGTGACACAGGAGTACAGTCACTAGTTAGATGGCAAGGCACAAGGGCAGCTTAAAATACAACCACTTGAAAGTACAGACAGACTTGATATGAGGGACAGAGACAAGCCGTGGGCTGAGGAGGTGGAAAGACTATGACTGAGAAAGGATACAAGGTCCAGAGGGCACAGTGTAAAAAAGCAACCAGAAAAGATTCATACAGCAGCAGTTTGGGCCTGAAATTCTGACCTTGTCAACCTTGTCCTCCTGGGGCCCAGTTCACTGGGAAAAACAGCACTTAATTCTACCATTGCTTAAACGGTGCTAAGAGCCTCCCATTAGAAATGCATGCATTAAAACCTGCCAAACACTCTTGGCTCCTCTGGGGACACCCCGAAACCAGGCCAAAGCTCCTGCTGCTTTCTTAGGCTTTGTGCTGCAGCTGGGCATCAGCCCTCTTTGAAGCTCAGCGTGCTGCCTGCTCCTGGCAGGCCTGAGGGCACAAACACCATCTCCAAGGGCTCTGCCTCCCAGAATTTCTCTACCCACCTCCCAGAAAAGAGATCTTTCCCAGGGGTGCGTGGTACTGGGGCTGGTGCCTTATTGAAGGGCCTCTCCACATCTGCTGGATAGTTTCTACCATATACGTTGGTCTTATGCATCACTGCAGCTACTTCAAATCACCACCCAGAGATGGCCCTTGCTTTTGTCCCTGGCTACAGTGAAAGGACAGTACCATGGAAGAGCTCACAGCACAGCTGTGGCACTTAAACAACAGCAGCCCCTTCCATCTCAGCCCCACTGCTTCCAGGGGTGCTCTTATTTATCCTAGAAGCAACCATCAAGTCATGCAGCAAAGAATCCGTGGCTGTGCCCAGAAATGCTCCAGAAGGCCTGAGATGTCTGGGACAAAGAGGAAGCCCGATGACCTGTGGATTTGTGACATGGAAGACATGAGAGAAAGAGAGTGTCTTACACTGCAGCTTCTCTGATGTCCACCAAAGGTTGAACTCACACAGCACTCTCTCCTCTAATGGGGCTCTGTGAAGGTTTCTCTCTCATTTTCACTCTTCTCTAATTTATTCTCCTATTTTCATGAAACACAATCCAATCCCAGCCTCTCTGAAATCCACCCCAGCGTTACATTTGTTTGAAATCGGCCCTGTAGCTTCAAAAATCTAGAGGTCAGAGGAGCTGGCTTAGGCAGAAACATAAGAAAGGGGAAAAAGCTGTAAGGCCACCCTAAAAGTCATGCAACAAAAGGTGTTTTCATTTAATTAGCCATACAAAGCCTTCATCCCTTACAGGGGTTAAACTGGTACCAATGCATCCTGCTGAAGGGTGGCCACTCAGCCTTAGAGGCTCTGTGACTTTTAGCAGAGGGCTGTCGCAAGACAGATCTCATGGTTCAACTCTCGACAGGGTCATTTTGCCATATACAAATCCACGGTGCCTGCTGGGAGAAAAATCATCCCTCTGAAAGCCAGGCTGGCCCTCCCACAAGTGGGGAGGAAGCTTACAGATCCCAGACTCCAGCTGTCCCTGACACAAGAAAGCCCAAAGCACTAGGATCCTAGCAGGACACACTGCGGTGAGGGAGCCCACAAACCCACAAAGGATCTTAGGTACTTCTCACAGGAGATGCAAGGATGCTCACAGTGCTCCAATTCCAGCCAGCAACTATGGGCCCCTGCGCAGAGGAAGGGCAGAGGGCTGAAATACAGGCTGTAGACCCATCCCAAGGGTATGCTGCTCTGCAGCCCTGCCCTTTGGCCAGTTCAGGGGATGGGAAGCATTCAGGTGTTAACCTGAAGTCACCATCTGCCACATATATGCACATATATGTGCTCAAGCAAATGCACAACCATTGACTTCAAACCTTTGCTGGACCAAATAGCTTAAAGATTAACCATGAAAAAACCCAACACGGTGCTGAATATGAAAGCCCTGCTCTCCCCTTGCGCCTCCCCAGCAGTGATTAGATGCTTAATTTGTTAGGCAGCAAGAAAGAGAGAATGGGAAAGCTCAGGGGAGAAAAATGAAGCTGCTCAGAAGCATGAAAGGAGAGAGAGAGCTTTAGAAGCGTAAATCTTATTTTAGAGTGATAAATACGGGCAGAA